TGGGGAAACCGGCAACTGCTCAGTCCAAAAAGCTGGGTACCTTAGAACAAAACGGACCCATGATGCATCCTCAGTCCCATTCTGAGTCTCTGAAAGGCCTCTGGAGCCTTGGTGTGAGTCCATATTCAAAGGCTAAAGAATCTACGGTCTGATGTCCTTTGGCAATGGCAACAGCAAAAAATGCACCTGCTCACAAGAGTTGAGACTGTGTGTGACTGAGTTTCCTTCCCCCCTTCTTTTTTCCCTTGGAGGCCCTTAGCTTATTGGACAGAGCCACCCACAGTCAGGGCAGGTCATGCCCCCTCAGTTCACCAATCCACATGCTGGTTGTCTCTGTAAACACCTTCACACACCCAGAGGGTGCTCAACAAGTTTTCTAGGCATCTGTCAACCTAATCACATAGACAACCACAATTAACCATCACAGAAATTATAATTTTTGTTTTTAAGCTACTAAGTTTAGGTGTTGCAACAGTGGACTATGAATACTCAAGTATTTCTGTATCTGGAAATGGCCAATTTGTCCATGTCTTTGTGATGGACCCCATAGCCATCTGCAGTCCTGTTGCTTATTTGAGGACTCATCCTGCACTGGCTGCTTTGTTTACACTGTGAACATTTAAAACTTAAAAGAGATGTTTGACCTATGCAAAGATGGATGGAGATGGGAAAGGAAGGGGCTCCAATCATAAAACCCCTGCTAGGAATTCTGTGATTCTGTGGGTTTTTATGGATGGAAAGCCTCAATGAACCCACAATATAAAAGAGGAACAGTGATCTGGACGTGATGGTGCATGCCTTTAAGCCCAGCTACTCCTGAGGCTGGAGAATTGAGAGTTCAAGGCCAGCCTGGGCAACTTATCAGGATCCTGTCTCAAAATAAAGTAAAAAGAACTAGAGCTGTAACTTGCTGGTAGAATCCCTGGGTGCAATCCCCAGTACCAAAAACAGAGGGGAGCAGAGGAAGTGCTTGTTCTTGCAAAAAGAAAAGACATGGGAAAGGTTTGAAGAAGGCAGAGTTCTTCTAAGCCCAGGCCAGCCCGGCTATGTTGCCTGTTCTTCTAGGCTGGAATTGCAGCCAGTTGGGACCAGGGGACCCAGTCTGAAGACAGCTGTGCCCACTTCCCAGATGACTGCCACACATGCTCCAGAGCTCTGAGCTATCTCCATCGGTGTGGCGACTTTTTTTTTTTTTTTTTTTTTTTATGATGCCTTTCTGTCCTTTGTCCCTTCTTGGGGCTGCCAGGACTAGACATTTTTAAACTCTCTTTAAAGGACTTTTTGAAAAGTCCTCTTTCTTCATTAATCTCTCCCACTTCAACTCACACCTCTAAAAGTTTGGATCTGGATGATCCCAGATAAGGCCTGTGGGGCCCTCAGATACTGATGGTTGGGAGGTTTTCCAGAGCTCTCAGAAGTAAACCTTCCACATCTCAGAAAGTTACAGCTATTTCCTTACCTGGGATAGGTCTGGAAGATCTTTCTGATGTAAAGACATACCTTACCACCTGTGGCAGAAACCTGTTGGTGGAGACTTCCAGATCCTGCTGGTCTCTGGGAAGATTCCATAAGAAACCTGCCTCAATGGATGACTCATAACCCAGGAGCTGGATGTCTGCAGTGGAAAAGTACAGGAGGTGAGTGAGTGGGATGGAAGCTGTGTGGTTACACCTGGGCCTCCTATGAAAGTTCTAGAGAGGGACAACTGGCAGCAGCTAGACTCAGCCCCGGGACTGAGTCAAGATTACAAAAAGACTTCAAAGTCAAGATTTCACATGCTACCTGACCCTAAGAGAAACATTTTTAACTGCTGTATGTCACAGAATTCAAAGTGTCTAGGGTCTAGTCTGGAGTGTCCTGCCAGGCTCAGGAAATACACAGGCAGTCAAGGGTGTGGGTATTGAAATCAAATAGACCAGAGTTTGAGTTCCGGTTCACCATTTACTAGCTGGGTGACTTGGCAAGTTATTAATCTCTGACACTCTTTCCTCAAGGTAAGAAGCCCTGTCTCACAGAACTACTGCAAGTTTTAGGTGAGCAAATATATTAAAGCATTTCAGAGGGTGTTGGGAACATAATAAATATTCAGCAAAGGGTAATGATGATTGGAAAGAGTCCTGGTTAGGCTGTATGATTTCGGAAATGACACCTCAGAGGCTGAAGATGGCCTGGTTATGCTGACTCAAAGGAAGTAAGTGAAAAGAGGTGGCAGAAATTTGGGGGAAAGAAAAATGTTTCTGGGATTTGGGGTTAATTGGGACAGCCATCAGGGCTTAGGAGACACAGAACTTGGTATATAGAAGCAGGAGTACCAGAAGAGTGAGTTTCATAGGTTCACATTGAATGTTTTTTTTTAAAAAACATGCATTCCAATTTTGTGATGCATATATCATAGTATGCATTATGGCATATTTTGCTATAAAGAAATTCATAGCAGTGAAAAGATTTCAAACTTAACTAGTTTATACCAACAGCTATTTCATCATAAAATTCCAGGGGAATGTGACCCCAAGGATATTTTCTTAATCTGTTCATTTGTAACTGCTGTGACCACATTCTGAATGTTCTATTTTTTGTGGTTTTCATATTTGGTTGTTTTGGTGGTGCTTGGAATCTAACCCAGGGCCTTGAGCGCCAGGCAGGCGCTCTACCACTGAACTACACTCTGAGCCCCTTCCATTGGTTTTTGAAAATCCTGGGAGAGTTTCTTTCTTTTTTTTTTCCTGGTTTGTTATAGGTTCTTCATTTTTTAGATGTATTAGAATTGGCTTTGAAGATGGACAGGCATCTTATATAACTTTTGGCTAATCCAAGGTAGGTGAAGTCTGGCTTTAGCTGCATGAAAGATAATGGTGATTTTGAATGGCACTGGAAAGGAGCTTTGGGGGGAAAGAAAGGACATGCATTATGCAGAAGCTGCTCAAGGGTTGGAGTACACAGGATAGCAACTCAGCAGGGGTGTGGAGGCTCCTGCTAGTTTCTTATTAGATTTGAACTCAGCCATGCTGTTATGAAACAGGGGCCCTTTGAAGAAACATTGGAAAGTACTTGGGTCACTAAGGGCAGAAATTCATGAAGTTCCCGTACCCTCAAGGAGCCCTCCCTCCCTTGACCATGGGAACCATAGGCTAAAGACAAAGGAGACCTCTGTCTTTCCCACCTTAGGAGCCTGAGGGAAGCAGGAACACTGAAGATTCATGTTAAACACAGTGTGGAGCTGCAACCCTCTCAAGAGCAGTGATTCAGAATGAGGTAAGAAAACTTGTGGAGGCAAGTCCTTTTCAACTCTTTAGGGTAGGAAAGTGGTCTGAGGTATGCATAGCAGGAATTATTTAATAGAAATTTTCAGTCTTGGAGATGGAGGGGACTTCCAGAACAATCTAGTCCAAACTTTTTGTTGCCATGGATCTCTTCTTTAAACAAAAGCTTCAGAGAGCCCAAAGTCAAACCCTTATGAAAGCAAGATGGCTCTTGTTGCAAAAGTAGGGGGGAGGAGGGGAAAAGAAATCTAATTTATAAAATTAGAAAATTTCAAAAGAGTATCATGGAAGAAAACATTTTCATTTATGTTCATATCATAGGCTAAAGAAACATTGATTAGAAAAAAATACAATGCCCCAAATACATTTAACTTAGAAGAGACTTTGGATCTGTAGGGGCATTTTCATTGGGAGACATGAGAACAGGGATGTCTTTTAGTGACATGAAAAGGAGTCTTGGATGAAAACTTTAAGGGTTACAAGACTGTGCTGGGCTAACTTAAAACAATGTGTCTTACAGTACCACCAGGTGGCGCCCGCGTTCGGCATTTTGAGAACGTCTGGATTTCTTCTGGCGAGTCACAGGGCCTTGTGCCTTTTCAGGTTTAGAAAATCTGATTGGGCTTCACGCTCAAGAAAACACAGTTCTGTGGTTTAACCTCCTTCGCTCTCACTTTCATTCCAACTGTCGAAGTGCGCTTAACATCAGCGTTATTAAGGAGTGTGAAGTTTTCAGAAAGGGGCGAGGGAAAAAAAAAACTTCTCCAAACATACTAAAGAAAAGGAAGAGTCTTTCAAGAAGTCTGGTGCAGGAGGAGGAAGGCTGGGCTTTTGAAACTTTAATTCAGGGTTCACCACTGGATGAGGAAGCACGGAGTCTCTGGTCTCAAGTTTCCTCATTGGTAAAAATGGCTCTTTGAGCTCTATTATCTGTGGCATGCTGATGCAGGGAAGTTAGACAAACCCCAGCTTCAATTCTGGATCCCAGTTATAACTTTAAAACAGCGATAACATTTGGCATGGTTACTGAGATTAAATAATTTTCATAAATGCTAGTACTGTACGTAAATGGTCTTCATTATTATTGCCTTTTTTTTTGGGGGGGGGGGGAGAACGAGGGATTGAGGAGCACTCGACCACTAAGTCACATCCCCAGCCCTATTTTGTATTTTTATTTAGAGACAGGGTCTCCCTGAGTGGCTTAAGGCCTCGCTAAATTGCTGAAGCTGGCTTTGAATTTAGATCCTACAGCCTCAGCTTCCCAAGCCGCTGGGATTACAGGCGTGCGCCACGATGCCCGGCTTTATTATTGCCTTTTTATGTCACCATCTCCCTCCGGACGGCCACTCCAGCAGTTGGGAAGTCTAAAACAATACACATATACATTTAGAATTCATATACATTCATGCAGGAGGTTTTAGCACTCCAGATTGCAAAGTGCTACTTAATTGTAGACTGTGAAGGCTGGCTGCACTTTGGGACAGATATCCAGGGTTTCACAAATCTTCTCCCCGGGCCTTTCTTCCACCCCTAGCCGCGTGCCCTAACCATGCGCGCAGCAGCCCAAGTAGGCAGCTCAGGACGCGTGCTTCTCGCCTTTAATCACCAGCGACAGCGCTAAAGACACGGAGAAGCGCCCCGCCCCCGTGCGTCAGAGCGTAGTTGCGCAGAGGCGTTTCCCGGGGCGTGCCTCGGTTGCTAGGCGACCATGCCGCTCCCCCTCCCGCCCTTGCGCTCCGTCTCCCTCCTCCCAGTCCTGGCTAGTAGCGAGCGAAGGCGCGCGGAGCTGCAGTGTCTGGCAGAGAATCCCCGGGGAAGCGTCGCGCCCGGGAGGCAGCCTTCACAGCGCAGGTGGACGCGGCCCGCCGAGTCCGCCAACCGCCGCCCCTCCCGAGCTCAAGATGGGAGGCACTGCTCGCGGGCCGGGCCGGAAGGATGCGGGTCCGCCCGGGGCCGGGCTCCCTCCCCAGCAGCGAAGGTAACGGCGCCGCGGGGTAACGGGCTAGGGGTGCCAGAGTGAGCGCTTGGCGCTGGTAGGCGAGGCCGGGGGTCGGGGAGGGTCTGGACTGGTGATCTAGCAAGCCCCCAGCAGGAGGGACGAGGGAAGGGGTCTGATTCCCTCCCTGGACAGGCCCCCTCCCTTCTTTTCCATCAGCGTCCCCCCTCCCGTCCCCAGCCCACCGTGAGTGGGGGAGGGGGCTGGAGCGGAGCTAGAGGAAGAATTACAACCCCTGGGCTGTCTCTGAAACCCTAGATCGGTGATATGGCAAGGGACTCCAGAAACCTGGGACTTTTCGTGGCTTTTCTTTTCTTTTCTTTCTTTCTTTTTTTTTTTTAAGCAAACCTGGGTAGTCTGGGAGCTATACCTTTGAAAGGAGCCCTGTTGCTCAGAGCAGATAACCCAGGGCTGAACTCTTGGGGTTTTGCTATGAGGGGTGCGGTCTAGCTTGGTATTTGAAGGTAACGGACTGTGCAGCGTAAGGCTCTCGCCGGACCCTATTTTAAGATTCTCCACCTTGCATTGTATTTTACGCCTAAGTGGAGAGAAGCCACCCACCCCACCCCCACACCCACCCCCACACCCACACGCCCTCCGCCGCATTTGCATGGAGCCTTCTTGTGGTTAATTTGCTATTAGTAGGAAATCTTCCAAGTGTTTAGCGTCTTTTTCTCAGTGAATGTGGATGCTTTTCCCTGTTTGTCTTATCATGCTAAGGCAAAAGGTCGGTCCCATTCAGACTATTTGGTTTCTGTCCGTGAAGCATTTCTCTGTTAAAAATTAGAAATAATTCTATTAAGAATGAGCATTTTTTAAAAGAACATTTCAAAAACATTTGTACTTTTTTTTATCCTTTGTATTTCTTTAGTACAGTAATCACATCTAGAACTAATTTTATAAAACAGTTTTTAAGGGTGACTAAAATATTCCAGGATTTTTAAAGGCATTAAAAAAAAATTTCCCCCTGCAACAGGGTCATTGTTGTATAATTCATGGTTATATCACATAAAATGATACAGTGAAATGCTGATGTATTTAATTGGAAAATCCATGTTCTTGGTGGCAGATGAAATACATTATTCCAGGGCCATCTTGTGGATTAAATAGATCCTCTCTGTCTTTTGTGTTCCCTTGCAGTCGGGAAGCCACAGTGCTAAAGAACAGAGAAATGATCCTAAATCATTGAGCATTTTGCCTCCCCCATCTACCAGGAAATGAAGTGGGAATAGAGACAAAATTCAGTACATCTTGTAATTTGAAGCACTCCTTTAACTGTCTGCTATAGTATTCACTGTATTTTTCTACTAGTTGGGTAGCTGTAAGCATGTAAGTAAACAAATAAAGAGAAGACGGCTCTAAAAGGCCTTTTATTTCTTGCAATTAGACCCAAAAGTGTGTAAATGAACTGTTCTTTCCATCAACATGTGGTAAACATGCTCAGAGGAGAAGACAGCCCAGCCAGAGATAGAGATTAGAATCCATGTCTCAGGCTGAAAAAACGATCACCTCTGTCACACTTTCTTTCTGGTTTTTAGGATTCCTACACAAACTAGCCTTCATTTTCAAGTAGTAAGTTAATTTATAGTTCCTATTTTGTTTTTTTTTTTTTTTTTAGCAATACAACAGGTAATCTGAGTTTTGACCATTTTAAAATGTAAATCTAGAAATGCTATTTTTTATTTAAAAAAAAAAAAAAAGGAAAAGACAATTTGGATCATTTGTCAAATGCCCCAGTTTTTTATATTCAATGCCAAAATGCAGTGTGGACACTTATTTCTATTAACTGTTTTTTGTAGCAGGTATGAAGCAATTACGACACAGTAGGTTTTAGAAAGGTGATTTATATCTTCCTTACTAACAGATCTTATCTATAATCCTTTCAACTAGATTGGGGGATGGTGTCTATGATACCTTCATGATGATAGATGAAACCAAGTGCCCACCCTGTTCTAATGTACTCTGCAATCCTTCTGAGCCGCCTCCACCCAGAAGACTGCATGTAAGTAAAGGACGTAATTCTTTGTGTTCTAATTGTCTTGGAAAAGATAAAGTACTAAATAATACTCAAGGTGTGGTTATGTATCACTGGCAACACAGACTCTTTTGTTGTTGTTTCTTTTGATTTCTTCTGGCTTTGGAAAAACAGTTTCTGCTGTCCAGGTTTAGCTTTTCAAAATCATTTTGATTTGGAGCCCACCTCTTTGAGTTCCTACTCAGATAAATATATGACACTGGGAAAAAGATTTTATTTAGGTGACATTTATTTTAGTAGAGGATAATACAGAGTATCACAAAGGCTCCTTTTAACAAAAACAAGCAAAAGAAATTATCTCAGAATTTGTGGATCTGCAGAATTCTCCCTGCAAGATAAAAATGCAGTCCTAGCTTATTAGTATGCTAAAAAGAACCATTTTATAACTCATAAATTAAACTTGAACAATACAGCTTGTTTTTTGATGCATTTAATCATTTTAGGAACTGTAGACATTAGCTTTTGATGCTGTTTTACAGAAGATAATGATAAAATTTATTCACATTTCCTCAGCATACACAGACCAGTAGGCAGAGCAAGGTTTGAACAAGTTTCAAGACAAGAAGAAACTATCCTTTGACTTAAATTGCACATACCACCTAATGAACATATTGAATACTTGAATTTAATTTGTAACATTTCTCCTTCATGTTTCTGTGTTTAAGACCTGAAAAAAAATGTTGTGTTATGTCCCCCGCCCCCATCAGAGATTGAACCAAGGGCTTCATACATGGTAAGCAGGCATTGTACCACTGAGCTATATCCAGAGCAATTTTTGTTTTGAGACAAGGTCTCACGAAGTTGCACTGGGTAGCCTTGAGCCTTTGATCCTCCTGTCTCAGCTTCCTGAGTTGCTGGGATTACAGGCGTGCCTCACTATACCTAATCTGAAATTGTTACTATGTGGCAAAAATTACTTGCATTATTCCTATTCCATTCCAGGTTTTTGCTATTAAAATTAACACTTTCTACCCCTTTCAAGGCTAATAATATTACAAATCATGGGCTAAAATTATTTGGAAGGGTGGTCATCCCATTTCTGGAGTACAGTAGGGTTTCTTTTCGTTCTCTGCAGGATTCATTTCCATTCTCTGCATTTTCTTTCTTTTTAAAAACTTCCAAGAACCAGAAGAACTATGTCTACTTGTGTTGACCATTAGATTTCATGATGCCAGTACTAGATCATTGTAGGATGCTGATTACAGTTGAGCTGGTGTGTTAACATCTGATTTCAGTTTAACATCAATTCAGGGTTGATCCATGCTGATAACCTTCCAGTAGGTCACTTAAATTATATGTTTCAAAATCAAAATGAATTTTTTATTGCCTAGTGTTCAGAGTAACAATTTTGGGAAGCATAGATTTTTAGATTCTAATGCAATGGTATCTTTACAAATTTTACTAAAAAAAAAAAAAGTTTGACCTCTTGGTGGCACTTATAGTTCATTATTCTACGACTTTATCCTGAGGTCCTATTGCTCTTTTCACAAAGTCTTTTAGCTTTGTCATTTATTCTAGCTGCTCTTACATACTCATTATAAACTAAATCATTGACCTAAAGGTTGTTACTGGGTTAAATTCTATGTTGCAGGGATAAAGATAGGGTCAGGAGGTAGGTAAAGGGTAGGTTTTTTAAATCTGGATGAGAAGACTATTCCTCTGAATTATCAACAAGATTTTTAGGACTCAAATAATGCAGTAGAAGGTTGTATTTGAAACATCCAAATTCACATTTTATATGTGTATATGAGGCATTCCTAAGAAATAAAGTATGGCCAGGCTTAGTGGCACACATCTTTAATCCCAACAATTTAGGAGGCTGAGGCAGGAAAAATCACAAGTTTGAGGCAAGCGCACGTAATTTAGCAAGACCCTGTCTCAAAATAACATAAAACAGAGACTGGAGGTGTGGGTGAGTGGTAAAGTAACTGTGGGTTCAATTCCCAATGTGGGAGGATAGAAAAGGAGGGAGGGAAGAAAGAAAAAGAGAGAGAGAGAGAGAAAGAAAGAAAACATGGTAAGTCTGGATCTCTGGAAATAATTACATGGTATCAAAATATTTTCTATTATGATTATAACCTTAGACCGTAATTTTTTATAATTATTACATGTTAACATGTGAACACTGTAGATTCTCTGAGAACAGTGGAAGGAAGGTTTTATTTATAGCACAGAAGACTTGATATATAATTAATTCAGGCCAGTATTTGAATTATTTACAGGAAAGGAGAGAAAGATAAGGAAAGAACCACTTCCTCTGTTTGGAAAAATTCCTTCCTGGAATTCTGCAGGTTTGCTGGAAATGCAAACCTCTATACTCCATAGCGGACTACACCCTGGGTAGTATGTTCTGTTCTGGAAGCCACACCTTAAGAGAGACATAAAGTACAGCCCATAAAAAGAATGTGAACAGAGTATTAAGGAAACCCAACACATGGCGGGCAAGGTGAGAATAGTTGAAGGAGATGATGAACTTGCAGAAGAATGGTGGGGTCAGGGATACAACAGCCATTTTTAGGTATTCCAAGGGTTCTTACATGAAATTTGGATACTTCTGTATTCTTCCTGAGGGCAAAGTAAGGCTTATTTGCAGAAAGAGATTGAGTCTCCCTTTAAGGTAAAACCATGAGTCAGGAAATCCCAATGACATCCTTCATCTTATGGTAATAGTTCTATGGAAGTTAAACTTCTATTAGATTTCTGTTCTTATTAACTTACTGTGCCTGAGACCCTCTCTTATCACAAACAAATGAAGACCTCCAGAGCCAGCCCAAGGCAAGGGCAGTCTTATATGTAGGCAGAGTAGGTGAAATTTCCAGGGATGGACCCTGGACCACAAATACCTTTCCTACCAGCTTGTCATTGATGACTTCAGTTCTTAGAGAGGCATTCTTTTGGGTTAAGGCATTGTTTTCCGTTAAAGTTCAAATATCACTGGAGAGGTAGCACATTAAATTGTATAGCAAGTTGAAAGCAGGCTTTGTGCTAGGGAGAAAGTGGGTGAGATGTTTCGTGAGGAGGCCTGTTGAGTGGGCCCACATTGGGCAGAAGCTGTATTTAGATGCTTAGTGGAGGGAGACTGAGATTGAGGAAGCCACCACAGAGAAATCATTAGGGAATAGGAGAGAGTGTAGGAATTTAAACCTTATTATATTGAGAATTTTGCCTAATCATAACTAGTATTTTGAACATGCTTTCCAGTTTGTGAGGGTCTTTCACATGTATTATTGATTATAGTTTGATCCACACAACATCCTGCAATTAGGTATTATTATTCATGTTATATAGATAAAAAAAAAAAAAGATGAAGAACAAATAACCTGTCCAGAGACCTACAGCTTTTAAGTACTATAGCCAGTACCCAAACCTGGGTCTTCTAACTTCATTCTTTAGAATGTGTTCCAAAAGCTATAGCAGTAAATATTTAGGTACATTAAAATTAGGTAGTAAAAATTTTAAGGAAAACAGGCAAAGATGGTGTGCAGATGTTCATTTTCTGTTATGTAAATCTAACTTGAACCAAATAATTATAATTCTTTCCTCATTCAGCCAAATTTATTCCCTAATACATAGTAGTTCTGTAAGGAAAAAAAAAATCTGTTTTTTAGCATAGGTGCTAAGTTGTAAACTCTGAGTGTTCCAGTGAATACTGGATGGGTGACTGTGAACCACTTCTGTTTTTTCATCCCTACAAACAGGAATAGTTGTTTGACATAATTATTGATAAAAAGGATGTTGCATTGCATTTGTCTTAGCAGGTTATTGGGACTCTGTCTACAGGCCTATTTGTTTTCTTTTCTATTTTAGTATCAGAAAAACCACAGCGTGCCCATATCTGGCCTCTTTAAAGCTAAATGCCAAATTGTGGCCATAATCAAACTGGTTGCTTCAGTTTTGTTTTAAGATTTTATGATAGTTCATGTAACTCTTAAGTACTCTATAAATATTGAAATTGATTAAATTATTTTTAAAGGACCAGGAAGGGACTAAGTCCTGCTTTTATAACTAGATCGGGGGCTATTTGACATATGCCAACACTGAAAATTTTTATCCTTTTTTGTTATTTGGGTTTTCATTTTTGTATCATTTCTTTTTTTAGTTTTGGTAATATATAACTTTTGGTTTACTTAGGTTAAGTTAAAATTCAAATTTTTTAAATGTTTGATTACTTTTTAACTTATATTTTTGGAGATTTTTAACAAGTTTAGAGCTTTTATGGAATTTTTGTCTTTGATACTGGAGGTCCCCTGAAATAGTCAGATTAGGGTCCATTGGAAAAAAACAGACGTTCTTTTAAGTATGGAACACTTTTTTTTTTTTAACAATAGATTTTTTTCTTTATTCTTAGCTCATTAATGTATCTGAACAATTTTGTTTTTTCCCTTAAATATTTATATTTAAGGTATACATCATGATTTTTGTTGTTGTTGTTGATAATTGGATGTTTCGGATTAAACCCATGGGTGCTTAACCACTAAGCCATATCCCCAACCCTTTTTCTTTTATTTTTTAGTTTGAGACAGAGTCCTATTAAATTGTTTGGGCTTTGTTAAGTTCCTGAGGCTGACCTTGAACTTGAGATTTTCCTGCCTCAGCCTTTGGGATTACAGGCATGAGCCTCCACATCCAACTAGGATAAGAAATGGTTATGCTCTCAAGCCAGTTAGCACATTCATCAGTTCACAGTTACCCTTTTTATCTAACTATTAATTATTTTTAGGTGTTTGGCTATTTTTGCTTTTGCTTTTGTTTTCCTTAGTCATATTTCAAAGAATCTTGTTTCAATTCACAGAATCCTATTTTAATTCAGAGAAATAAGTAGAACTTTTTTCTCTGGGATACTGTTCCTTCCAAGAAAAGTGTAAGCAAATTGAGGTAAAAGAGTAGCACTCCTTTATCTCAGAGGCACTTGGAAAAAGCTCTTCAGGGGCCTCGGATTCTTGGTTATTTATCAGCTACATTGAAAGTTGGCCCAGATGGTTTCAAGAGTTAGAATTTCCATGACTTCATGTGCTGTTAGAAGGCTGCAGTAATGTATTTGAGGACCTGGGGGTTGATGAGGAGGCTAGGTCAGAACCATAAAGATACTTGAAATAATTAGTACATAATGTTAAACAGTATATATAATCAAGGGTGAATCATGTGGTGTAGGCTGCAGTTAAATCATGAAGTTAATTATTATGGGCTTGAAGTAGTTCTAAGTGAAAGAGAGTGGACTTAAATTGGGTCTGAAGGAGTAGAGGATGAGAGTGAATGGGGGGAGGGATGAAAAGATTCTCAGGATAAGACAGACCTATGAGAAAGAACCTAGCATGCCAAGGGATGGGAAGACAATCATCCTGCCTTGAGCAGGATTAGGGTGGACTTAATCTTCAGGAAGTCAGGATTAATTAGGAGACCCTTGCTTTGCTCATTGTATCCTTTTTGTGTCATTTTAACCTTAAAACTAACACAACTGAACATATTTTGATGTTCTTAGGTTGGAGGGAAGGTCCCTTCCTCTTACTAGTGTCTGTAACATTGTATTCATTTTCTCATTTACAGATCACTACTGAGCATTTAACAAGAGAGCATTCTCAGCACTTTATGAATGGAGGTGAGATAAAAGTAGAACAGCTGTTTCAAGAATTTGGTAGCAGCAAATCTGGTACTCTTCAGTCAGATGGCATCACCAACTCTGAAAAATGCTCTCCAATTGTTTCTCAAGGGAAAAGTTCAGATATCTTAAATATAATTAAATCCAACAGTTCATCCAAAGCACCCAAAGTGGTACCTCTGACCCCTGAGCAAGCGCTGAAGCAGTACAAACATCACCTCACTGCTTATGAGAAGCTGGAAATCATCAATTACCCAGAAATTTATTTTGTTGGTCCAAATGCCAAGAAAAGACATGGAGTTGTTGGTGGTCCCAATAATGGGGGATATGATGATGCCGATGGGGCCTATATTCATGTCCCTCGAGACCATCTAGCTTATCGGTATGAAGTGCTGAAAATTATTGGCAAGGGGAGTTTTGGGCAAGTAGCTCGGGTCTATGATCACAAACTTCGACAGTATGTGGCCCTGAAAATGGTGCGCAATGAAAAGCGCTTTCATCGTCAAGCAGCTGAGGAGATCCGGATTTTAGAGCATCTTAAAAAACAGGATAAAACTGGTAGCATGAATGTTATCCACATGTTGGAAAGTTTCACGTTCCGGAACCATGTTTGCATGGCCTTTGAATTGCTGAGCATAGACCTTTATGAGCTAATTAAAAAAAATAAATTTCAAGGCTTTAGTGTCCAGTTGGTACGCAAATTTGCCCAATCTATCTTGCAATCCTTGGATGCTCTTCACAAAAATAAGATCATTCACTGCGACCTGAAACCAGAAAACATTCTTCTGAAACACCACGGGCGCAGTGCAACTAAAGTCATTGACTTTGGGTCCAGTTGTTTTGAGTACCAGAAACTTTATACATATATCCAGTCTCGTTTCTACAGAGCTCCAGAGATCATCTTAGGGTGCCGCTACAGCACACCTATTGACATATGGAGTTTTGGCTGCATCCTTGCAGAACTTTTAACAGGACAGCCTCTGTTCCCTGGAGAGGATGAAGGAGATCAGTTGGCTTGCATGATGGAGCTTCTAGGAATGCCACCACCAAAACTTTTAGAGCAATCCAAACGTGCCAAGTACTTTATTAACTCTAAGGGCCTACCTCGCTACTGCTCAGTGACTACTCAGGCAGATGGGAGGGTTGTACTTGTGGGGGGTCGCTCACGTAGGGGTAAAAAGCGGGGTCCCCCAGGCAGCAGAGACTGGGGGACAGCACTGAAAGGGTGTGATGACTACTTGTTTATAGAATTCCTGAAAAGATGTCTTCACTGGGACCCCTCTGCCCGCCTGACCCCAGCTCAAGCATTAAGACACCCTTGGATTAGCAAGTCTGTGCCCAGACCTCTCACCATTGAAAAGGTGTCAGGGAAACGAGTAGTTAATCCTACGAATGCTTTCCAGGGACTGGGTTCCAAGCTGCCTCCAGTTGTTGGAATTGCCAGTAAGCTTAAAGCTAACTTAATGTCAGAAACCAGTGGTGGTATACCTCTGTGCAGCGTATTGCCAAAACTGATTAGCTAACGGACAGTTCAGAGATGCATATGTATGTATTTTAATACTTTGCAAACCTGCAAATGGAAAACAATGCAAGCCCATTGGTGGATATGTTTTTGTTAGACTAGACTTCTTTTTTTTAACAAGACAAAACATTTTTATATGACTATAAAAGAACTCTTCAAGGGCTAATTACCTAACCAGCTTGTATTGGCCATCTGGAATATACATTAAATGACTTTTTATAGGTCAATGCATCTTTCTTATTATCATCAGATGTACTTCAACCTGTATATATTCTATTGGTTTGAATCTCTTTCTTCCAAGATGGATGGGATACCAAAAATATATGCTCACTACTCCTCTCCTATCTCCCTCAGTATCCATTTTGGAGGGGTAATTTGGGAAGTTGTGATAGTTGTAGATGAGATGCAAAGCTAGATCTCTTGCTCCGGCAGGCCATTCTGTGGGCTTATTCTAAGTGAAGGGGCTCACAGCAGAATATGAGGTGAGGGAGCACCTCAAAGCTATTGGTCAACTGTACAATTGGTGTCGTTTTTCACTTCCCATTATGCACAGTATTTTTTATTTATGTTATTATTGCTATTATTTTGCCTCAGCTTTGTTCCTGAACACTGAAAGCATCTTACAGACGTCTCACCACCTTACCAAAAAACCTTGTACGTTACTGCTGGGGTTTGAATAAGTCTTCCCCAAAGGCCTGTGTATTGTATTGAAGGCTTGGTCCCGGCCCTCGGTTCTCTTGGGAGGTAGTAGAACCTATAAGAAGTGGGTCCTGGTGGAAGTTTTTCAAGTCTACTGGGCATTTGACCTTGAAGGGAACTGTGGGACCCTCGTTTCTTTCTCTTCCTCTTTGATTCTCAGGCATTAGATGAACGGCTTTGCTCTGCCACCACAATGTTATTCCCACCAGAATGGCCACTGCAGACCCAAAGCAATGAGGCCAATTGGTCATGGAGTGGAACCTTCAAACTGTGAGCCAAAATAAACCTTTTCTCTTTATAAAAATTGATTTATCTCAGGTATTTGTTACAGTAATAGAAAGCTGACTCACACAGGGGCCCATTTTAAAGCCAAGTCATATACATTATTTCTCCTCCATCTCCAAGGAAGATAAAGCAACTTATTTGCCCCCAGCTACCTCCAAATGTTAAAGGTAGAATCAGCATGAAAACTGCAGTTTCCTAACTCCTTGGTCGTCCGTGGACTAGCTGCTTGCTGGATTTTTGTGGATTCCTGTCCTTGTGAAACAGACCTCTGTTAGGTAAACTCGCTACAGTTTAATAAATGTTTTCCTTCTCTCTTTCCAGCTACTTATCACCTTAATATGCCACATTTTTCCACTTTAATTTTGAGCTAGGCACCTTCCTAGATTTTGAGCAGACTTCAGTTATATGATGAAAATTGTTTAAAAAATCCAGAAACTTGTGATAATGCAGTTTCCCCTTTGTTTTTCCTAATTGCATATTCAACAGGCTTTCTTTTTCTCTGCTAAGATTGAAAGTTAAACAGTGAAGGCTGGTAATACAACTAATTGCTGGCCAAATGGCTTACTGGACCTGGAGAGCTTGTTGGGAGGTTCTAGCAGAGGAGCACAGCTACTCATATACCCTTGACTGAATAACGGTCTTCCTCTATCGGGAACTTTGTCCTCTTTGACCGAGCACACAGCTTTGGGAGGGATGCACGTGGAGCAGTGAGGGAGGAAGAGGACATCTGCCTAGCTAGCCAGATCAGCTGAATCAACCCCAGCGATCTGTGGAGTGACAGATTTTGCAGCCAGATCACCCTCAAATCCCCGAATGGCTTCCTGGAAAGGTGGAGAACTAAATAACTCACTCAGTGCTGCTGTTTATTTTTTCTATTCATTCCTCTACTTCTGTGCTCCTCAGAATGAAAGTATCTCCAAGTTCTGTCCTCAGTGTGTGTTCTTAGAGCATAACAGTTCTCAGAATGACCTCATTCAGTTTTTATTCTAGAATCTAGTATCCACAAACTCTATAAGATTGGAAGGAGGCTTCTTTATTGGATGAAACAGTCACAGAGGGGAAGAAAAATAGCTATGGACATATTATTTAAGGAACTTTGACCTTAGCCACATTATTCCTGGCTGCTTCAATGCAGATGTGGACAGTGAGAACAGAGACCTCAGCCTCTTCCAAAGGAGGAAGTCTTGATACTTTTGGTGACTGAAGAGCTGGATTATTTAAAAACCTTAATGATCATATTTACTCCTGGTTTACAGAAGGCAAAGGAATAGACAACTCCTTTAGAGCCTTCTAACTTCTGCTGAATTCTCTAACTTGCTGGAGAAGTTGGAGAGTCTTCCTCATTATCTAGGCAGAGCATATGTTGAGGTTGTTTTGCTCGGTGTTATCAGAGTGGGAGACCTGCTCTCAAAAATGGTTAAAAGGATTGCTGCCCCAAATGACGCACAGTAGATTTCTGTGTTGGAGTTTCTGTGAGCAATCTCCATGGTTAGCCAGTGCTGCACCTCAACTTGGGAGAGAAAGGAGCCTCTAGCTGAGACTGGCATGTGCTCCATTCTCTGTAGTGAATGGACTGTGAGGTCACTGAGACTGAGCTGAGGTGAAAGGATGCAGACAGCCTATGACACTGTAGAGAAATTCTAAAAGATCTGGAAAGGTGAATGTATGTGCTTTGGCTTAAATTTGGCAACCAGGAGAGTGATGCAGAGCAGAGTCATTCAAGTTGGCATGCCTGCCTTCTGCGGGTGGGTTCAAGTTTGGGGAGAGTGGGCTGTTTTAAAATTTGGTGCTGGCTGTGCAGATAGATTTGAGAAGATTTACGGGTGTGTTAAGTTCAGAACAAGTTGTGGTTTTAGAGGCTGTCACCCTGTGCCCTCTTTTAAATGTTCACTTGAATCTCTGCTCAGCCCTAGCAGTGACTGACTGAATTGGACCAAAGTTCATGCCGACATTCATGCTGTGGCTTACAGTGAGTGACTAGATTGTTCTTTAGTTGCTATTGTTCTAGCCATGTCAGTTAAACAGATCAAGTGGGTTGACTTACTGATTTCCAAAATGGCAAAATCAACTGAATTTACAAATTGTTGTTAACATAGTAGAAAAGTTAGATCAGAATTTTTGTTTTATTTCATTTTTTTTTTTTTTTTTTTTAAATATTTATTTTTTAGTTTTAGGTGAACACAATATCTTTATTTTGTTTCTATGTGGTGCTGAGAATCGAACCCTGTGCCTCATGCATGCTAGGCAAGCACGCTACCACTTGAGCCACATCCCCAGCCCCATGTTTTATTTCATTTTTAAAATAATTTTTTTTTCTTTCAACCTGGGGACTTGGCTAATCCAGTTAATACCTGCTCATATTATTACACTGTATTCCATCTTCTACCCCCAGTGATTCATCTGTTCATTCATGTGCTTTCATGATCTCTTCTTTCAGAATGGACAGGCCTATGTTCTTATGATATTCTGAATTAACATATTTTTTCCTTTTTTTTTTTTTTTTGTGGTACTGGGGATTGATCCCACAGCTTGGCACATGCTAGGGATGCGCTCTGCTGCTCTTACCAAGCAGCAGAAGGGTGCCTGTTGATAATGTGCAGATCATGAAAGCTCATTTCCTTCATGTACAAGGAGCATGCTCACGTCTTCTTTAAGTTGACCTGTACAATCTTTTATATCTTTCTTTTTGGGGAAAGTTTATCAACTAAGGGTTACATGAGGCCACTTTCTTCTGGTCCAACAGCAGACACAATTACCTTGGAAACAATGAAAAGAAAAATGCAGCCATAACCTGTGATGAAGGATTCTGCTTCTGTCTCACAGGGGTTCTGTGAAAGAGGAGAGTCTAGGCAAGACCTTCTTTCCAAGAAGACATTGACTTAGACCATATTTGCATACTTTCTTCTTAGGTGTCAAAGGGTGTTTGGGGTAAACAGGGTAACTGGCTAATGCAGCATGTTAGTTTTTATGATATTTAATCTGTTAAGAATGGGCTTTATTGCATGGTCAGAAACCAGAAAATTAAATACAAATTTCAACCATGAAACAGTTTCATTCTGTAGCAACTGGTTATGTTAAAATACCTTTGATTTTGTCTAATTCCCAGCTAGACATAATTAAAGTTAAATGCTAAATTTTAGGTAGCAGCTGATAAATGGTTGTAAGCTTTCCAGACAGAGCACTCCTATTGTTTTAATGAATCATGGAAAACTTTGTCATTTATTTTTAATTCTTTCTTTTGCATCTATTATTTGATGTCATCAGCATGAGCACGGAAGTTGGAAAGGTGACAATGATTGTTCTAGACAGCCTCCATATGCTTTTTCTCATCTGTGAATTAAGGATAAGTACTTATCCTTGAACTAGGCAGGATTGCCAGCAAATGTCTTCCTCTGCCTCTTCAGAATCACTGGACATGATGCATCTATATACACTGCCTATACATAGAGCAACTGCAGATAGCTGTGATATCAAAACTGGAGCCCACACAAATAAGTGAGAAAAGGCCAGGGCTTGGCAAGTCGAGGAAGAATTGTCCTCTGCCAGAGATCAACCTCCTAATTTTAAATAATGTTTTCATTATCCTTATTTCATCATATCCCTCTTTCGATTTCAATCTATACTTCCTGAAGCCCAAGATTAAAAGAACTTCTGGGCTTGATGAAGGGTAACCCTTTCCAAGTGTCTGTTGAATTAGGCCTGCTGATTTTAATGAGAAAATTTTTTGAGTATCACAGTAAACCCATCCATGTAAGGACTAAAAGCTCGCTGGTTCCTGAGATCCATAACTCCTGAGATAAACCAGAGCCACAAATATATTGTCTAGACTTTGACAGAGCTGGATATACTTCTTAATATAGCTCACCCACTGCTAAGTTGAGCCAAAGCTCTGATATTTTTCTATAACAGGAGAAGCATGCCTGATGAGAGACTAGAAAGATTCTTACCTCCTCTGCCACCACACAAATAGACACAAATAGAGAAAGCAGAGCCCCAGATAAGGCCAAATAGTGTTCTGTGGCTATTTTAGCTCAGAATGTCAGCCTCCAAACCATTAGGTTTAAGTCATTTTGGTGTCATGGGATTCTATCATTGTTCATTTGAGCCTGCTGACACGCTTCCTCTGGAAAGTGCAGCTTAGCATGGATGAGTCAGTGTTTTGTTTTGTTTCTTATTATTATTTTGGGATGTTTGTTTTTGAAAAATATATAAAGGAATTGTTTTGAGAATTTTTTTAGTATCTTGTGATTGCTTCACAGCCAAGGCATAGAGCCATTTCAGCAGGACCTGAGTGCCACACGCTGAAGCCACCCTGTCCCTGAAGCAGGGTGAGAACCAGTCACTCTGGATTATTTGGGCTGTGCTGCAGGTACAGACTCTCTGACTTGATGGGATGATAAAGAAAGAACAGTGCTCAACAAAGGCAGTGCTGGGGTAGGGCAGGGAGCAGAGGAGAAGCAGTCTTGCCGGGACTAGGCCAGTGCTCCTCTAAATGGCCAGAGCTGCTGTCACCAGGCTGGTTTGCGAGCTGTGGCATTGCTGAGGACAGGAAACTGAGGAAATGTGTAGAATTCAGGGATGAACACCTTCTTGGGAACCCTGCTGTTAGCAGTCCCATCAGGAAGCCTCACATGGACCCTCTGGGGTCCAAACTTAGTTTAGGGATAAAGCCTCACAGACAGCTTCCCAGAGTACAGTTTATTTGGGAAGTTTAAGTGTTTTTTAAGGCCCCTGCCTTGGCCTGTGGTAGAACTGAGTAAATGGAAGGAGAGAGGGAACAATGTGCTTAGGGGCCTTTGGGCTTCTCTGCTCCAGCCTCTTCTGATCTGGCCCTGGGCCATTATTGCCCTGGCAACAGGAGCTAATTGGACACTGAACTCAGGGACTGCCTTCTGCCATCCTTGAATTGCCCCCCAGGTTCTTGAACAGACTTTCTGCCTTACAGGAGCTTGGCCAAAGCTAGAGATGGGCCTTCCCATATTCACAGGAAGCAACTGCATGTTGGGTAAACTGACTGCTGCTGGTGGGACTATAAGGCAGGCAGAACTTAAAAGAATATCTAGCCCTCAATACAGATGTTAAAATTAACCCATGATCAAGTACACAGCACTGCCATGACATTTTATGCCATTTAAGACAAAAAACTATCAGGTTAAAAAAAGGCAATGAAAAGTGCAGTGAGGGCTACAGGAAGGAATTTGTCAGTCCAAAGGCAAAAATCATGAAGTGACTGCAGCCAGACCATGCTGATACTGACTAAAGACCAAACTTGACCTTACCATAGCATGGGCACAGTTTGACAGGTTGGCTTTGTTTTGCAGAGGTCACCTGGCCTACCTTTGCATCTTTGCTGCTGGTGAACTGATTCGGAACAGATCCAGGACACCCAGTCTGAACACTGCAGAGGGCGGAGCCCTGGCCCAAGCCCAATTTACCTCTGCTCTTCTTGAAGCAAATTCATACATGCCTGTTGACGCATTTATTCTTTCAACAGTGACTTATGGAGCATGTTTTATGTGCCAAGGGAGTACTCCGGTGGTGTTTTTGAAGGTCAGGGAGCATGGACAGCATTGTAGACCACAGGTTCAAAATTTAACAAAAGCTGGGCAATGGGTTTAGGGGAAATTGCCAAGAAGTGACCTACAGGCTGTTCTGATTTTAAAATTTGTATAAATCTGCAAGTAAGTCGGGTGGAAAAGGGGGATGGTTTCGAGAGAATGTTCTGAGTGTGCAGTACAGTCCGGGTTGGGTTCTGAGCTGAAGGGGGAGGAAGATGGCAGGACTGAGAGGTGAGGAAGACGTGCCATCCTCTGCTTGGCTCCACTCCCTGTTGCTGACCTTGGAGGAGAGATGAGCTTCCCCTGAGGTTTCTCTCACCTGGATTTCAGAGCAGGGGTTTGACCCTTGCTGCTCCCTCACCAAACTGATTCTGACCTCAATTAGCCATTGAAAGCAACCAATAAAGAGGAATTAACAGTAGAATCTGGCTCCCATGCCCCGTCCCCCATTTGCCTCAACATCTAGCTGGCTGCTTTGCTGTTTTCTCTGGTTGCCAAATCAACACTGCTCATTTCTTTTCTTTCTTTTTTATTTTTATTTTTTAGTTATACATGGACACAATATTTCTATTTTGTTTATTTTTATGTGGTGCTTAGGATCAAACCAGTGACTTACATGTGGGAGGCAAGTGCTCTGCCACTGAGCCACAACCTCAGCCCCTCAACATTGTTCATTTCCGTCCATCAGCACAACTGGTCAGAGCCCAAGACTGAAGTGAATACATGGAACTGGCTGAGAAACTGCATCCTGAGACATTTTCCTACAGTTTTTGAGCAGATGTCCCACATTGTCTTGGTTCCAGTTCCTTCTCATTAAACCCCTTTCATTCAAGAGCCCCTTTCTTCTTAGAACCTAAAGTCATTGTGTGCTTTAAAACACCAGAGAGATGTCCAGGCAAAGTTGCCTGAGTGACAGGCAGGAGGCTTCCGAGTTCTTTGGGGACTGAGAGGAGAAGCAGATCACAGGTGCTTCCTTTCGGTCCAGCTAAAATAGCAAGGGTCAGGTGCTTCTGTGGTGGGTCTTCCTGCAGGAACAACTGTTTCCCAACTACTGTGTCACATCACCCCTCCTGCCCCTTCCAAGCTCAACCTGGCCGGAGGCAGCTGCATTTCAAAGACAGTAATGCCTCTGTTCTTTATTTATTCCTGGCTTTAAATCTGCTCCATCCAGAGGAGGATGAAGGGAAGGCAGCATTAGCTGGAAAAGCCATGCGGGGACTGCAGGACACAAGGCAGAGCCTTCCCAGGCCAGAGTTGCAGCTTATCAAGTCAGAAACCTGTTGGGAATCAACGGCAGCCTGGAGGTGGTCTTTCCCTTAACCCTTGAACTGCACTTCTCCAGTGGCTCCCCCAGGGCATTAAGCCCCACCTCCCTCCTTTTTCTCTCTGCCTCCCTTTCATTTTTCAATTAATGCCCAGTGCCTTCTCTGTGCCTATTGCTGTGCTGGATCCATTCCGATATGAACATACATGTACTTGCTCTCTGGAGACTCAAAATTTACTGGGATGTCAAACTGGTAAAGAATTGAGACACGTACAATGGAGACTGTGAATGAATGATGACCAAACTCTTCCCAACTGAAAAAAGACACTAAGAGTCAAATTGGGGACACCGAATACCCTTGTCCCTTTGGTTCACAGCAGAGACAAGGACTGGAGCTGGTTCTCCATGCTTCTATCACCATGGCCTCACCCCCCATTTCCAGTAGCCCCTCTTTCCCTGCCCCTCAGTCAACTCCCCAAAGCTGCCCAAATGGGCTTATTTTTACCAACTGGGATGGGAAAGGGGCAAAGGCTGAGGCTGGGGCAGTCGAGAGTGGCGCCAGCTAGGGCTTCAATATAATGAGAAAGCCCCTTCCTGCCAACTCTGCCTGAGGAGAACCCAGTAGGAAATAAATAGCACTGTGTGCCCTGCTTGGACTCCAGGCCCCCATATGTCTGCCTGGCTGCAAGCCAGTCACAGGAGCTGGTTAAAAAGAGACCTTGGGTAATCTCCCAGCTCAGTTGTCTCTTCTGGCATGAGAAGCCACGAAGGTGCCAGCCTTTCTTTATGGGGCCTGAGTGGACAGGGAGGCACAGGGGGAAGGGGCAATTCAGGCCAGGGAGGGAGTCGGCCAGTGAGACTTTGCCCCAGGCAAAACTATCAGTCCTCAGCTGCTGGCACTGGAGAAGGGTGATAACACTGGCGAGGGCAGAGAAGTTGAGAAAGAAGAAGCCTGGCGAAAGTTCCACTGGCAATCTTAGTTTGGCCAAGGTCTTGTTTCCTACACACCCCCACCTGCACGTAGGAACCCATCGGCACACACACACACGGTGTATCTTTTCTCTTCCAGTTTTGTCCCCTTGCATTCCCTCCTACTCCCAAACTGCCCTTTCCTGGGACTTGGGCCCTGCTTCTTTCTAGGCCTCAGTTTCCCCTTAGGCAGCATGTTTCCAATCTGTGCTCAGGGCCTTTTGGCAATCTAGGACAGTTCACAGCAAGAGGCTCCTGGGAAAAGAGCGTTCACTCTGGAAATGATCTTTTTACTGAAGTCACAGAACTAGGTTAAGTGATTCAGCAAGCCCAAGACCTCCTTGTTCAGACCTGAGTTCCCTGAGATGCTGGGGAAGGAACCCTGAGTTCAGAGACTCATTTGCTCCATGCCTCCTGCTGAGGAAAGTGTCCTGTGATTATGCTTGGACTGGTGCAACCCAAGAACACCTGTTCACTGTAGTGGGTTGGCTGGATAGGGCGTAGAGGTCATGAAGGGACAGAGAACTTGCCCCCTGCAGGATGACAGGTGCTGTGGAATGGGAGGCCGAGGGAACAGGAGCTCTTGCAGGTGAAGCATGACCTCCAGGAGCCCAAGCTAGCATGATGGCCATGGGGGTGGGAGGGCAGGACACACTCAGCAGTTCTTGACTACATGATTAATTTATTTTATTAGTTTATTTTCATTAGGTATATATGACAGCAGAATGCATTCTGATTCATTGTATACAATTACAGCACAACTTTTCATTTCTCTGGTTGTACCCAATGTAGAGTCACACCATATGTGCAGTCATACGTGTTTCTAGGGTAATGACGTCCATCTATTCCACCATCTTTCTTGCCCCCACGCCCCCTCCCCACTCCTTCCTCTCCTTTGCCCCATCAAAGTTCCTCCATTTTTTCCCATGCCCCACCCCTCTCATTATGGACCAGCATCCACTTATCAGAGAGAGCATTCAGCCTTTGGTTTTGGGGGATTGGCTTACTTTGCTTAGCATGATATTCTCCAACTCAATCCATTTTCCTGCAAATGCCAAAATTTTATCCCCCTTTAATGCTGAGTAATATTCCATTGTGATATATACCACAGTTTTATCCATTGTTTTGTTTTTCAAAAGAGAAATCAGACCTCCCCTCCCCAACCCTACACCAAGAAAAAAAATTACTCCAAATTTGCATATCGAAACAGGGAAGGGAACAGAATCATCTGAGATTTCAAAAACTCTAATAAATCTCTAAACTCCACAGAGATTATTCCTAAGGATGAGGACAAATTCCTATTTTCTCTGGTTGAGAAAGTTAATAGTGGGGGACTGGGACATAGAAGCACCTCTCGGGTCCTGGAAGATAATCAGTTAATCTGATTCTGAGCCAAGTTTGGACCACCATGGAGCAGGCATCTGGAGAACCCTGACAG